TTTATCGAAAACTTTTTATCTAAAATAAGAAAACTTTCGAAAGTTATAAAATATATTTTTACAATCAAAATGCAAGAATATTTATTTAAACTAAAAATGAAGAGAAATAATTATCGTCTAAAGTAATCAAAACGTGAATATTTTCTAAATAACGCAACGATCGAGAAAGTTCTTCAAAGATCTAGAAAGTACTTCAATGATCGTGAGGGTTCTTCGTTAAAAATCCAAAAAATTTCTTATCAAAGATGTAAAGTTTTTCTCTTATTGGCAAAATAAGAGAAACTTTAAACAAAATCAATATTATTAATTCAAGAACATTCTTTTTAGAAAATTGAAATATTATACTTCGAAAAGCTACATGTATAGTGAAACGTACATCAACGTACAGGTTAAAAAGTTATTTTAACAAACTTTCTTATACAAAATTTTCAATTAAATTTTTAAATTTTTTAATTTTTCTTTATTAAATTTGCAATTATACTTATGCACCTAATTCCAGGGTAATTTTAAAAATCAATGACCTCTTTTATCGAAAATTTCTTAAGCAAGAATAATTGATTAACAACATCAATAAAATGGGGATGGTAATGTCCCCTTTAAGTATATAAAGTATATATGAACTGAATACATTTAAATCACTCACAGATAACTGTTGGTCAAATAAATCCTTGAAAGATTTTTTTTATTCTGGCAATTACATTAACTTTCTTTATGGACACAATTTTTTTTTAACGCTCCACTTTTTTTTGAGCAAGAAAAAAATGACTCCAATTTTTTTTGGGGGAAATAAAATTATTCCGATTTTTTTTTGGGGCGAAATAAAATGACTCCGATTTTTTTTGGGGGGGGAAATAAAATGACTCCGATTTTTTTTGGGGGGAAATAAAATGACTCCGATTTTTTTTGGGGGGGGTAAATAAAATGACTCCGATTTTTTTTTGGGGGGGAATAAAATAAAACTATTATCAAACAATAATTACTTCCAAATTAACAATATTTTACGTCCCTCGACCCTAAATATTCGCACTGATAAAATAAAAGCGTACTCCAATGATCCTTATTAGGGTGAGATTAATACAAATAATATAAACTGCAACGCGTGCCAAAAGGCACGTACTCCCTTTCACTGCAACGAATTTATCTTCGCAGTTAATAAAATCGACCTAAAATGAAAAACACCCAACAAAAATAGTCCTAAGCGAATCTAAAAATATTTTTCACACGCAAACATCTCTCTACCACAGCATTAAAAATACTTTTTTTTAACACAAAAAGAAAAAAAAATTGAAATAAAAAAATTTCCAAACCCTGACCAGCTTCACATTAAAAAGTTTAAGACAATTTAAAAAAAAAATAAGATAAAAATTTTTATTATTACCATTATTTAATCCCCAAGAAATCCTCATAATTACCACAATCATCATAATCCAGTATTTTATCACCTGCAATAATCTTCTCATTAATTATATCAGTAATTACAAAAAAAAAAAAAAAAAAAAAAAAAAAACTGCTACTACATTGTCAATATTGAAGCTATATTAACAGCCTCCATGTACCTTCCTTTAATCCGGTTTCTGATAAAATTGTTTCTATCGCTTCAAAAATTTCCGGCTTCTTCCATAATTTATCAACATATATGCTGTAAAGCCGATATAATCAACAGCTTATGAAAGCAAAAAAAAAAAAAAAGAAAACGATCCGGTATTTCAGTGAAATAGACATTTATAGGTCCTCCCCCCTCCTTCTCAATACTTTACCCCCCCCCCACTCTATTTCACACGACTCCTCAATTGCGACGTTGTCGAATCAATGTAATGCAATACAGTACAACGTATTGAAACGTTGCCTAAAAAACCGGTCAAGAGGCAAACTTACAAAAAAAGTCATTTTTAGGTCATAATTTAGATCAAACATGGTTAATAGGGTAACAATCTAATAGTATTTTAATCAACAGGGGAACAAAGAGAGTTATTTATTTACTATGATTTTTTTGACATAAGTGAGAGTTTTAACAAATCGAAATTTTAATTTTAGGTCCAAAATATTAGTTCCCAAATTGTCGAAGGTCAAACAACAGGAAAATTTAGGTCAAAAAATATTTCTTTACAACTTTTAGAAACTATGAACAGTTATCAAATTGACACAAAAAATTATTAAAAAGAAATTATAAAAATTAGGTCAAAATGCGTAGGTCAATCGGAAATTGACATAGAACAACCTTAAAGTTTTTGATCTTAAAGTCTGGAACAAAAGAAGAAGGTCAATAAACGAAAATAATCAAAATTAATCTGGACTATATGTTAAGGTCAATAAACCACAATAATTATATTTAGGTCCAGTCAATTTACATTCAGGTCAATATGACCTAAAAATTTAGCTAAAAAGTTTTTTAAAAAGTTAAAAATCTACATCATACAGATCAAGGTATTAAAAATTTTCAGTTAGGTCAATAATTAGGTCAAGAATATTCAAAGCAGATCAAGAGTCTGTCACTTTAAAACCTACTGAATGAAAATTATAATTTTAGGTCCAATTCGAAATTCGAAGATGAAACAATCTGAAAACTTAGGTCGTGAGGTCAAGATAGACTTTAGGTCAAATCGCTTAGGTTAATAGAAAATTGAAAGAAATAAAGGATTATTTTTCCTTCTTCTTTCGTCGAAAGGTCGATGTAGAATTTAGGTCAAAACACGCAGGTCAATAAAAATTTGAAAATTTACCAAATAAGTATTAATAAAAGAAGCCTCAATTATTGCGGGAAAAAAATTTCATCGAGCGTTCAAGGTATGGAATCCAGGTCAAAACCGCAGGTCAATAGAAATTTGTCACAGTACGTTTTGACTTTGAAAATTTTGACTAAAAAACGCAGGTCAAAAGGCAAACATAACCATACAGTTTAAATCGAATTTCCAGGTCAATTGAACTGTAATCCTAAAATTTAGGTCCAGTCCAGAGGTCAACATATTCTTAAAATTATAACCAAAAAAATTTTTTTAAATTTAAAAAATCGACATTATACAATTCAAAAGAATAATAAAGAAAGAAAGTAGAGCAAGAACTTTAGGTTTCTTTTGGGATAGAATTTAGGTCAGAAAACAAAGGTCAATTAAAATTTATCGTCGTACATCGACGACATTAGAAGTTTAAACAAAAAACTCATCAGGTCAAAAGTGAACGTAATCACAAAGTTTCGACCAAGTGTCGAGGTCAATTAAACCGTAGAATCATAAATTTAGGTCCAATCTAGAGGTCAATATAATCATAAAACTTAGTTAAAAAGTTTGAAAAATTAAAAAAATCGACATTATAAAAATCAAGAGAATAAAAAATTCAAATTAGATCAAGAACCTTACGTGCTGTCTGGAGTAGCATTTAGGTCAAAACGCGCAGGTCAATATAAAAATTAGAAAAAAAAATAATTAAAGAATTAGGGAGAAAAGGAAAGGTCGAAGCAACAAGTAGATCAGAAGAAGAATTCTCTTTATTCCAGTTGTCGTCAAATGGTCGTGGTAGAATTTAGGTCAAAAGTGCAGGTTAACAAAAATTTATTCTGGTAAGATTTGGCCTTAATATTCTAAATGGTCAAAAGGCAAACATAACCACACAGTTTGGATAAAATGTCCAGGTCTAAATTAAACCATAATCTTAAAATTTAGGTCCAGTTCAGAGGTCAACATAAGTTTAAATCTTAGCTCATAGTAAAGTTATCAAGAAGTAAAAAAATCAAGAAATCAAGCAAATTAATTTAGGTCAAATCCAAAGGTCAACATTACCTTAAAGCTGAGCTTATAGCAAAGAGATCAAGAGGTAAAAATTTTAAGTAAGTACAGGTCAATAATCGTTAAATTTAGGTCCAGTTCAGAGGTTAACCCAATCTTAAGGTAATATTGTGACCTCCAGACTGGACCTAAATTTAATAATCATAATATAATCGTAAAAATTAGGTCCAGTAGAGAGGTCAACATAACCTTAAGGTTATTAAGTTATTAAATGTAGGTCCAGTCCAGAGGTCAACACAATTTTAAAGTTATAACATAACCTTAAGGTTAGGTTATGTTGACCGCTGGACTGGACTTAAATTTAACGATTATAGTTACATAACCTTAAGGTTTTGTTGACCTATGGACTAAACCTAAATTTAATAATCATAAAAAAATCGTTAAATTTAGGTCCAGTCTAGAGATCAACATAATTTTAAGGTTATAACATAACCTTAAGGTTAGATTATGTTTACCTCTGGACTGGACCTAAATTTAATTACTTAATAACCTTAAGGATCTTGTTGACCTCTCTGTTCTGAACCTAAATTTTATAATCATAAAATAGTGGTAAAATTTAGGTCCAGTAGAAAGGTCAACATAACCTTAAGGTTTTTAAGTTATTAAATTTAGGTCCAGTCCGGGGGTCAACAAAACCTTTTAATTTTACGATTATGGTAACATAATCTTAAGGTTTTGTTGACCTGTGGACTGAACCTACATTTTACGATTATTTTACGATTACATAACCTTAAGGTTATGTTGACCTCTGGACTGGACCTAAATTTTACGACTATGGTTATTAAACAATAGTAAACAGGTCAAGAGGTAAAACAAAAGTAGGTCAACAGTCTCTGAATTAAAAAACTAAAAAAATTTGACTTCAGGTCTAGAATTACAGAATCTGGTCGCAGGTCGCAGGTCAAAGGACCTGTAAATTTAGGTCAAAAAACAACTTTTTTCTAACTTTTCAGAAAAATCTGAAATTTTTTACAACAAAATAACTAGCGATAAATCTAAATAAAAAAAACGATTAAAATTAGATTTTGTTTGTAAATTAATTCAAGGAGAAGGGGTGAAGTGGGGGGTGGACGAAGGAGAAGTATTCTCCTTATTCCTTGCCTCCCGTCGAGAAAAGCAGAGGGAGAATAAAAAGATGGTGTGTGTCTCTGTGTGTGGGGGGATTGTGACGTAGTCAGTGGGAGATGACGCGGTTTTAACATCTAAAGGGTGGGTGAGAAAGAAAGAATATTATGTATGTGTGTGTGTGTGTGTGTAATGCAAATATAGTGGGGGGAAAGGAAACCAATGTGTGCGCAGTGCGCCGTGTTGAACGTTGTTTGCGCTGTCAGGTGTCAGTGTCAGTTGGTTCGCCACGGCGACTTGGTGCGCCGTTGATGTGTAACTAACTACGCCTCGCAACATATTTTTGGATTTAAACAAAAATAAAAAAAAACCCTTAATATCGTTGGTGGATAAATTTCTTTACAATACTTAAAAACAAATCGAAATAGTAAAATAAAAAAAAAAAACGTTCTTAAAAACACAAATTCTAAATAAATAGTGGTTTTAAGAAAAAAAAATACTTGCCGGACCTGCCGGCCGGCAGAACATCATATTTTTTTTTTTAATTTTTGTGATATTGTGACATTGACACAAAAGAAAAATTGGACGAGTGCAAAAGTAGAAAAAAAGAAAAAATTTACGTCACATTGCGTCTCCTTTTTACAGTGAACGCGAGAAGTGAAGTTTCTCTTTTTTGTTTCTTTGGAACTTGATAGGTGTCAAAAAAAAAGAAGTGGCACGTGTGTGCTATTAATTATAAATTTGAAAAGAATTTTTTTTTTTTTTCGAGAAGAAAAGGACGAATTCAAATCGCCCATCTGCTTTTATCGACCAGTGCCACAACTTTCTCACGAGTTTCAGTGAATACTACCCTTAAACCAAGGAGAAAACGTACAACAACGTAAGTATATTGAATTTTTATTTTTTACCAAAAAAAAAAAATTACCCCCTAGGGAAATAATGGGAATTTTGAATTTTACTCTTTTCGAGTAATAAAAAATCTCGCATTTACTTTTTTCGAAAAAGAATTACCTTTTTGAGTGATAAAATCGCAAAATTCAGAATTAAATTTTCACTATAGGTAAAAATTGATCAAAAAAAAAATCATTAAAAACAAAGAATTCAAGGAAAAATGTTTGCTGTACAAAAAAAATTTTTAAATAAAACCCTTAGGGAGAAAATAATAAATTTTCCAAAACTAAAAAATTTTTGCATGTGCATTGAGAGCAGAATTTTCATTGGTATAGCAGAAAAATCGTATTATGCACACAAGTATTACGTCGGTACGTCGACCGAATAGTCTCGCGTTCTTTCTAGAAACTGCGCACGCGTCCTCATTGCCGTTTTCTTCAACACAATCCTTTTCTTTTTTGCCGCGCAATTTCTCGAGGGCATATTTTTTTTCTCCACTTTATTTCATTCTCATTTCTTCTCCCTCGATAAGAGATCAAATCATGTTCTTTCAATTGAAATTTCCTTTTTTTTTCGTTGAAATTTATATTCTCGGATAAGACTTTGATGTCGTTTATTGCAAATGTCAATGTGTGTGTGTGTGTGTGTGGGGGACGATTGTGATTTGAATTGCGTGTATATTGAGAGAGAGACAAGGGAGGGAGGAGGACAGTGATTGGCAAAATTGCAGCTGGTCAGTTACAAGAGTGACAAATACATAAGACTTGGAATTTTTCAAATTTATCTCTCTCTCTCTCTCTTTCTCTTTAAACAGATTGTCGCACTCTTAATAAATAATAAGCGAATAAACAGTAAACGAATAAATAATAAATGAATAAAAAATGATTTAATAATCAATCAACAAATAATAAATGAATAAAATAATCAATCAATAAATAATAAATGAACAAAAAATGAATAATTAACAAAAACAAAAATTCTTTGAACAAAAAAAATTCCCAGAATCGTTCTTGAAATTTTTTTTTTGTTTTCATTTTAACACTCAAATTCAATTTAAAATTAATCGCTCAAACTACGCCGCTAGGAAACATCGCAGAGAGAATTAGCCAGAAGATAATAGTCTATTTAAACGGTAACATATGTTAGGTTTCCTTTTAAGGTGTTTTGAATTTAACACACACACACACACACACACAGTCCTATCAATAATTTAAAAATTGCAAAAATAAGAGAAGAATAATATTTATATTTCTTGTCTCTTATTTTCAAAATTTTTTCTATTCAACAAATAAATAGAAATTAAATACGAAAGTTCTCATAAATGAAAAAATTACAAAAATAAAAAAAAACAATATTTTTTGTCCTCTTATTTTAAAAAAAAATTTTCTATTCTTCAAATAAATAGATTAAATACGAAAATACGAAAAAAAAAAATTGAAAAAATCGCAAAAGTAACAAAAAAAACTAATACTTTCTCATGTGATGAGAATGTAAAAAAACTATATTTATATTTTGTTTCCAATTAAAAAATTTGCAAAAATAAGAGAAGAACAATATTTCATTATTTTTTTCCTCTTATTGTCAAAATTTTTTCTATTCGTCAAATTGATTTTTGTTAGAAATCTGTTTTATTTTGTACGAAAATATAATTTGTAAAATATAATCATTTTTGGAAAAGGTATGCATGACTCATGTTTGTGACGAATTATAGATAAGAATGATGAATGTGTGTTTAGTTTTAGTTTGGGTCCGACACTCGATGTATTAAGACGTTGCATTATATATATAAAGTGAAGATTGTTCAATGTAGTGATGCTTTCTTTTTATTAGAGTACCCTTTGATCCACAGCACTTTTAACACCATTTTTCCCTCCTCCCAATTCCTAACATTTTGTGGCGACCGTGACAGGACTTTTGTGGTGAAGTTAGTGAATTGGTGAGAAAGTTTTTCGTTTAACGGGAAGTGATAAAAATGGACGCCATCAGAAGGCAACGGAAAAATTTGCGAGCTGCCTTCACAAGGACTCATAATGCATTTGACGCAGAACTGACGCAAGATAGTTCAAAGGAAGATAAAATTGTTGCATTTGAGTTATTGGAGGATCGGATGACAGAATTGACTGCAGTTCACAGTGAATATAATAAGTTATTGTTCGAATCCGATTCAACAGAAGACGCCATATTGAGGGAGCTCGAAACGGACGATGCTTACAGAATGCTATATCTAAAGGCAAAGATGGCGGTCAAGAAAATCACAGAAAGCAACTTAGGACGACCGTTAAGTGCTGCATCGGATCTTGGAGTACTACCTGCTAGAAAAACGCTCAAGTTACCGACCATTGAATTACCAAAATTTAATGGTAATATAAAGGAGTGGCTTCCTTTTTGGAGCGTTTTCAAAAAAATACACGAGGACCCAGCTCTTACAGACGAAGACAAATTTCAATATTTGGTGCAAGCTACTGCACCAAATTCTCGAGCCCAGGACTTGGTTAGCAGCTTCCCCCCAACGGCTGAAAATTATGGAAAAGTTATGACGAGTATGAAAAATAGATTTGGAAGGGATGACGTTGTCGTTGAATTTTACGTCAGAGAACTCTTAGCACTCGTTTTACACAACGCTGTGAAGGGGAACCAAGGAGCAACGTTAGCAAGCATTTTTGACAAACTCGAAGCTTATATTCGAGCATTAGACACACTTGGAGTGACAACAGACAAATGTGCAGCTATGTTATACCCGCTGGTGGAGTCATCGTTACCTGAGGATGTTCTTCGAGCATGGCAGAGAAGTGCACAACGGGAAAATATCGATACAAATGGTGGACGAGAAACGAAGGATCGATTAGCCAAATTGTTGGAATTTCTGCAAAGTGAGGTCGAGAATCAGGAAAGAATTGATATGGCTCTACGAGGTTTCCAGTTTTCATCGGAAGGCGGTAACAGTAAGAAGACGAAAGGTAAGACTGAAACAGTCAAAGATATAGCAAGCGCAAGCGCTCTCCTCACTACGAGGGAAGCAAAATTTGTAGAGTGTGTATTTTGTAAAAGCAAGCATGAAAGTCAAGATTGTGAGACTGCGCGAAAATTGAGTTTGAAAGAGAGGCGAGAGTGTGTTCAAAATTCGAATGCTTGTTTTGTATGTGTGAAGAAGGGACACATGGCTAAGAATTGTCGAAGTAAAGTGAGGTGTAGTTGGTGTGGCAGACGTCACGTTTTGATTTTGTGCGCAGGTTTCCCCCCAAGAACTGATGTACTACAAGATAAATTGGGAGAAAATAAAAAAGATTATGAAAATAGTTTAGCCACTTTTAGTCATTCACCCGAAGTTTGTATGCAAACATTAAAAGTAAAAGTTTTTTCAGATCGTAGGGAAAAAATTGTTAGAGCAATTATAGACACTGCTTCGCAGCGTTCTTACATACGGGTGGATATTGCAAATGAATTGGGATATGGGTCTTGCGGTAATACTGAAATAGCTCATTCACTTTTTGGGGGTGTAAAATCTAAAATTAAAAAACACGAGAAATTTTTAATCCGATTGAAAAGTCTAGATGGATCTTACACTTGTAATTTTTCTGTTTTGGGTCAAGACGTAATTTGCGATACAATCCCAAGTGTTCAAAAAGAATCGTGGCTAAAAAGATTAAAAGATCATAATATAAATTTAACTGATATTGAAAGTAGTCAAAAAACGATAGATGTTCTTATAGGGGCTGACATTGCGGGAAAATTATTAACGGGTAATAAATTTGACCTAGAAAATGGTTTAGTAGCATTCGAAACATTACTCGGCTGGACCATTATGGGTAAAGTGCCCAGGGCCCAGAACGAGAATGACACTCCTGTTGCCATGATTACGACAATGCTATCGCAGGAGGTTGATTTGACAGAACTGTGGAAACTTGAAATATTAGGCATTACTGATCCAAGCGAGAAAGTAAACAAAACAGAACGCGATATAATAGCGAAAAATTTTGTCAGAGAGACAGCAAAGGTAACAAAGGAGGGTCGTTATGAATTTAAATTACCGTGGAGAGAGGATCATTTATTATTGCCAGATAATTTAGAAATTGCACAGCGTCGATTAAAGTTTACCGTACAGAAATTAAAAAAGCAAGGTTTTTTAGCGGATTATGGGGAGGTACTTAAATCATGGTTAGACGAGGGTATAATCGAAGAAGTAATGGAAAAAGAAATTGATTGCGAATGCCATTATTTACCTCATCGACCGGTTTTTAAGGAGAATAGTACCACCGTGATTAGGCCAGTTTTCGATGCGTCAGCATATGAAGTGGGGCATCCGTCTCTTAATCAGTGCTTAGAAACCGGGCCAAATATGATAGAACTTGTACCTGATTCAATAAATAGATTTCGCGAAGGTGAAATTGGGGTTGTATCAGACATAAGACGAGCTTTTTTGCAAATTGGAATTAATGAAAATGATAGAGATTTTCTTCGATTTTTGTGGATGGTGGGGGATAAGGTTACTGTTTACAGACATTGCCGAGTGGTTTTCGGACTGTCTTGCAGTCCTTTCCTTCTAGCAGCGGCAATTGAATTGCTTTTAGAAAAAGCGTTGATTGAGGCGTCTGAAAGCAATGGATTGTCGTGGTCGGAAAATTCTGTGAAAAAATTAAAAAAGTCGTTTTATGCTGATAATTGTGTAACAAGTGTTAATTCTGTCGACGAATTACACAAATTTATTCATGAAGGAACAAAAATTCTATCGAGCGGAGGATTTGATTTACGATTGTGGGAATATTCGGGCGATAATTCGGAAAAAATAACGACTCTTGTTCTAGGAATTCTTTGGAATAAACAAAGGGATTCTATTTCAATTAATCCAGCGTCAATAATAACCGAAATTCCTCAAGTTATTACGAAAAGATCAATTTTGTCCATGACTCATGGAATTTACGACCCGATAGGTTTTACTTGTCCTATAACTTTGCCACCAAAAACATTATTAGCACAATTATGGGCGGAAAAGGTCGATTGGGACTCAAGAATAGACGAAAAACGGGAGCATGAATTTTGTCAATGGGCGAAAGAATTAAGTTCATTAAAAGAAATAGAATTTCCACGGAAATTACCTGAAGGCAAATTGACAATTCATGCTTTCGGAGATGCAAGCGGAATTGCATATGCAGCAGTCGTCTTTGTTAGAATTGAGTCTGAGAATATGATTACTGTCCTTTTAGTTAGTGCAAGGTCTAGGATCGCTCCAAAGAAAACAACTATCCCCCGACTAGAGTTGTTGGCCGCCTCGATAACAGCAAGACTTGCTGACTCCGTTGCCAAGTCTTTTACGAGAGAGGTAGAAAAAATAACTTTTTGGTCCGATTCTACAACCGTGTTAGCATGGTTAAATAGGGATGGAAATTGGGGTACTTTTGTACACAATAGGGTAAAGGAAATTCGAAAATTGACAAATATAGAAAATTGGAAGTATGTGCCAGGCGAGAATAACCCTGCTGATTTACCATCGCGTGGGTGTAATCCTCTACAGTTGGTTGCAAGTAAATGGTGGTTGGGACCAGAGTGGTTGAAAAAACCAGAAAATGATTGGCCGTCAGCTAGGGAGAAAATAAATGAGGTCGAAGTAGAAAGGGAAGTAAAGAAAAGCGCTACCGTTAATATGGTTAATCACGAGTCAAACGAAATCAATATAAATAGTATTTTTTCATCGTATACTAAACTTATACGTTTTATCGCGTGGGTACGAAGATTTTTGTTAAACCGAAAATTAATTTTACAAGAGCAAAAAACAAAACAAAACGGTGCGTTCAGTGAGCAAAATACTAAAGTAAAAAATTATTCGTCGGAGGAAGATCGGAAAAATTTATATTTAACGTTATCTGAATTAAGAGAAGCTGAGAACAATTTGTTAAGACATCTACAAAAAAGTATGTTTCAAGATACAAATAAAAATAAATTATCTTCTTTTAAAACTTTTGTAAACAAAGACGGATTATACGTTGTAAAAACGAAAATTTTAAATAGAAAAGATAGTGCTTTGTTTTTGAGTCCTATTTTATTAGACAAACATGAAATTATCACTTTATTAGTAAGAGAAACTCATGAACGTATCGGTCATTCCGGAACACAAATTGTTATGAACGTATTGAGAGAGAAATTTTGGATTATTTCTTTGAGGCAAATAATTAGATCCGTGATAGCGAAGTGTGTGATATGTAAAAAGCAGAAAGTGAAACACATGGAGTGTGATTCACCTCCTCTCCCCGAAAATCGTGTACGAGATGCAGCGATTTTTGAAGTTACCGGAATTGATTTTGCCGGGCCAGTTTTTATAAAAGGGGGAGGGAAATGTTGGATTTGTGTATTCACTTGCGCGATATACAGAGCGGTACATTTCGAGTTGACGTCATCATTGTCGGTAGAGGGATTTGTAGAGTGTCTTAGAAGGTTCATCGCAAGGCGGGGACGACCACAGTATATCTATAGCGATAATGGGACGAATTTTGTGGGCACTGCGAACGCTTTAGAGGGATTGGATTGGCCAAGAATTATAAAGAAAACTGAAATTTTTCAAATCAAATGGCGATTTAATCCGCCTGCTGCTCCATGGTGGGGGGGTTGGTGGGAGAGACTTATCGGCATCTTGAAAACAATTTTAAGGAAAGTTTTGGGAAAAGCTTGCTTATCATACGAAAATTTAATGACTTCTCTCTGCGATGCAGAAAGTATAATAAATTCGAGACCATTGACATACGTTTCAGAAAATAGCGATGACCTAATACCTTTGAGTCCTATGTTGTTTCTCCAAGAAATTAAACAATCGGGAACGCCAGATTTAGACATGCTTTATGCAGAAAAATTAAACAAAAAATTGACTTATAGAAAAAAGATTTTTGACGATTTGAGAACCAGGTTTCGACAAGAATATCTTAGTCAGTTATTATTAAAGAACGGTAAAAAAGAAAATCGAAATGTAAAAATAAATGATATTGTTTTGATAGGAAATGATTTTCAAAAAAGATTAGATTGGCCTCTTGCACGTATTGTCGATTTCATCAAAGGACGAGATGGACAAATAAGAACATGTATCTTAAAAACAAAATCGGGAATAATTAAGAGACCCATACAGAGATTGTACCCGCTTGAGATCCATCAAGACAATGAGGAAAATGCGAAAAATTTGAACGAAAAAATCAAGAATAAAAATAGAAATTTGTCAGAAAATATTGTAAATACTAATAAGAGAGAATGCCAAACGACGAACACTGTAAAATGTGTGAGAGAGAAAATTTGTTTAGATAAGGATACACAAGTAAAAACAAAGAGTGGTCGTATAAGTAAAATACCCGACAGATTAATGTATTGAAATAAAAAAGAAACCCAAAATAATAATCTATGTTTTTAACAAATTTTAGTCAGTTGTAAAGTTATTTTAAAAGTCATCAATAAATAAAGAAAATTGTATTTTATGTATATTCGAAAAAAAAGAATGGGTGACGATAATATTTTTCTTTTAAATAAAAGGGGGGAGAATGTTAGAAATCTGTTTTATTTTGTACGAAAATATAATTTGTAAAATATAATCATTTTTGGAAAAGGTATGCATGACTCATGTTTGTGACGAATTATAGATAAGAATGATGAATGTGTGTTTAGTTTTAGTTTGGGTCCGACACTCGATGTATTAAGACGTTGCATTATATATATAAAGTGAAGATTGTTCAATGTAGTGATGCTTTCTTTTTATTAGAGTACCCTTTGATCCACAGCACTTTTAACACCATTTTTCCCTCCTCCCAATTCCTAACAATTTTATACGAAAATCCTTAATGATTAAAACAAATTGCAAAAATAAAAAAAGAATAGTATTTATATTTTTTTCCTCTTATTTTCAAAATTTTTTCTATTCAACAACTAAATATAGAAATTAAATACGAGAAAGTTCTCAATAATGAAAAAATTACAATAATAAAAGAAAAACAATATTTTTTGTTCTCTTATTTTCAAAAAAATTTTCTATTCGTCAAATAAATAGATTAAATACGAAAATCCTCAATAATTAAAAAATCGCAAAAGTAACAAAAAAAATTTATATTTTTAATATTTTTTTCTATTAATAAAATAAATAGATTAAATATAAAATTCCTAATCCCCCCCCCCCCGCCGCTCCCCCCTTTGAGAAGGAAAAAATTGCCAATTTTTTCCAAAATTAGTCTCTAATTAAAAAAAATAATAATTTGCTATTAATTATTATTGGAGGAGAAAATTTTGTTACAGGGAGAGAAATTGCTTTTGATGATATATAATTTATCAATAATTATTTGAATCAAGTGATCTCCGGAGTGTTTCTTGCGAGAACGAGAGAATCTGACATATGGCGTTCATTCTCTCTTGTTCCTTAATGAGATTAATCATTGTCGATCGAGTAGTAATTGAGTCATTTATAATAGAAGAGGTAAAGAAAAAAAAAAAGTTAAATAAAACAGATCTAATTGGAGTTTTTAAAAAAAAAATTCTTTTTTTTCAAAACTTTGTAATTTTTCTTCAATTTAAATTATTTTTTAATTTTATTCGTATTTCTCGTCCATATGGCCGACATTTTTAATTTATCAAATTTATTTATTTTATTTATTATTAGAAAAAATCTGTTTATTTAAAGTTTTTTTTTTTATTTTACAATTATTATTAGAATTTATTTATTTATTATAATTATTAGAATAAATAATGAAAAAATAGTAATGAAATAGAAAAAGAGAAACCCAATTTATTGTAATTATTATTAGAATAAATAATAAAAAAAAAAGTAAATAGTAAAATAGGAAAAAAAAATACTAATCCTAATTTAGAATTATTATTAGAATAAATATAAAAAAATGAGTAAATAGTAAAATGGAAAAAAAGGAAACTTTGTTTTTTTGCTTTCCTTCTCTTTTTTCTCCATTTTTTATTTTTTTTTTTATTTTTTGTAAAAAAAGTATATTAACTTTTATACAGTTTTAATGACCCTGTCACTAAACATGTTATCTAGTGACAGTAAGTCGTAATGCATATTGATAAGACACTGAATAAACATGTGATAATGCTTATCGACATTAAATCGCGAATTTGTATAATTCTCTTGTTAAAAGTAAATGGATTTGAATTCCAATGTGAAGGATGTTGGCTCAAAGGGATTTCAAATGTCAGATTTCTAAATTCCAGAGCACAAAGAAACTTTAATTAACGTTTCGTGTTTTGTATTGCTTTTTAAAAAATATCTTTTGTTATCTATTTTTCTATTTTTTTGCTTGTTTGTTTTAATCCAAATTTATGGATTATACTTTTCACATTTATACTTCTGAATAATATTTAAAAAATAAAGTTTAATTAATAATTATTAATAATAATAATAGGTAATAATAGAGTAATTTTTTTTTTTTTTTTTTAAAGGTAATAATAATAATGCCAAATTTTGTCAAGAATTAAACAATCATATTTATTAAGGGTTCAAATAAAAAATTTAAATGTCAATAATAATAATTTTTTAATAGAGGTAATAATAATAATTTTTAAAAATAGTTAATATTTAGAAAAATATGTTCGGTATGCAACTTGTTTTCTTTTAACTAAAAAAATTCCCACTCGTAATAATGTTTTTTATTCATCTAAAATTTATGATTCTAGGAAGTGCTTTCTGTTATAAATTTTTAAAAAAACGAAGGTATCTAGCTATCTTTTAAACTGAAATCTTTTTACAATTTTTTTTTTTTTTTCTTGCAAAATGAGCCACTTTTTTATATAGAAAAAAGAATTATTTTCTTGAATCACGTGATTTTTCTTAATATATATGTACTATTGAGAAAGAGATAACTCCGGAACTAAAATTGCACTATCTTATCATTAAAAAAAAAGGAGAAGAGAAAAGTTACTGTAATAAAATTATCTCACAAATTACGATATCATTCACATTATTATTTGCTAAATTTTTTCGAACAATAATTTTTAAATTTTGTTTTTCTCAAAATTTCGATTTTTCCAATTTACTAAATTTAAATAATTAGTTGATATAATTAAAAATGTAAATTTAAATTTATATTTTTTAATTATCTTTCTTCTTTCTTTTTCGGGAACCGGATTAAGTTATGATAATTAATTTTCTATCTGTATTTTTACTCTAAAAATTATAAACATACCCTAAAATGTAAAAAAGTCAAAGGGTATTAATTTTTAAATTATTAGATAGTAATTAAATTACTAAATAATAATTGAATTAATAATAATTAATGATAGTTTTAACTAAAGCAATAATAATAATAATAATAATAAAAATAATAATAATAAAAATAATAATAATAATAATAATAATAATAATAAAATAATAATAATAATTAAAATTAATTAAAATTGAAATTAAATTAAAATTAATTAAAATTAAAATTAAAAATAAAATTAATATTCATATTAAAATCTAAAAAAATCTATAAACTTATTTACATTCTACTCTATAAAACATACGCCAGAGAAAAAAATTCTCTTTTCTTTTTTATCCACACTATAGCGTCATTGTTTATTTTTACAAAAGGAAAAAAAAAATTTCCGAGGATTATGAGTCTAGAGAGTGTACTTAGTTGTACATAGTTTCCTATATATACGAGAGTTTCGATGAATTTCAGGATTTAGCAGTTTTTCTCAAGGTTAAAATCACGTCTTTCAAAAGAATCTCATAATTTGCAATTACTACAACGTAATATTGTAAATGCCCGGTCTTATTATTACTTCATTCATAACAAAGTGCAACGAGAGTTATGCGCGGTGCGCAATTTTAATATGAGAATATTATTATATTTTATAAAGAAAACTAAATGTTATTTCACAGTTTTAACTGAATATAATTATAATTTTAACTGAATATAATATCAAATTTCTTCTATATAATATATATATATTTATTTTCATATAAACATTCAGCAAAAATATATATGAAAGTTGAATATAATATTTTGTCAAATGATGCAAGAGAAAAAAATTTTATCTTTAATACGATTTTAAACATATAACTTCCATATTTAGATTCACTTAAATCTGCTGAAAATTTAGCGAAGAAAAAAATTCCGCTTGAATTATTCATTTTCAGTCGACGCGGAAGATATATTTTTTCCACTAAGCAAATTTTTTATTAAAACATAGCAAATTTGTCAATAATAATTTTTTTTTTTTTGTTAAATGAAGCACTCAGAAAAAAATTATTAATTTAAATTAAATTATTTCACTTTTATCACTCGGGAGTGAAAAATATTATTAATATTATCACATTTATATTATTATTATTAATTATTAATAATTCTTTCTACAAACACAAAATTTTTTTAAATTAACGAAAAGTTTAGTTGAATCAAATAAACATTTGTTCAGGTTAAGTGAAATTTATTAAGAATAAGTTAAAAATAATTTTTATACATCGTGTGTATTTGACTGAAGAATAATTTTCCTCTGTGTGTAGAATTTATTTATTTATTTATTCAGTTTATTTAAACTAAATAATTATTTATTTAATTTAGATAAACAATTCGTTTAGTGTAATAAATTTTGACATCGAAGAAAGAATTTGATTGGCTGAAACAAATTTTTCATTGAACCAAAGAAATTTTTTATTAACTCTTAATAAAAAAAAATAATAATATAATAATAATAACAATAATAATAATAATAAAATTGAAGTAATATTTATTAAACTGAACGAAATGTTTAGTTGAGTCAAATAAATATTTGTTCATGTTAAACAAACTTTATTTAGAATAAATTAAAAATTTTATTTATTCTTCAAAAAATAGTTTATCAAATTTTTCTAAATATTCTTTTATTTCTTATTTATAAAAAAAAATAAATAAATAAATAAAGAAAATAGAAAAAAGCAAAGAAAATATTAAAAATCGCAAAAAAAAAAGAAAAGAAAAGAAAAAAGTAAAAAAAAAGCAAAAGCAAAAGCAAAAGAAAAGAAAAGAAAAAAGTAAAAAATAAAAGAAAAGAGAAAAATGCAAAAAATAAAAAAAGCAAAGATCCCCTTATGTCGACATAAGTGTTATCCGTAACCATAAATTACGTTCGTAACAACCATCTGTTTAATAGTTAGTTCATCCAGCAATAAATACTCTGCCAGGAGATCTTAACTGAGAAAATTTCCATTGCATCTTTTTTTTCTCCCTCCCCCCCCCCCTCTCCCACCGCATACATAGTAAACTCGCGAGACTGTTTAAACTCTCTATTGATAAATGCAAGGAAATTGCATGGGATCTGCATAACTGGAAAAGCAGTTCCGCGTGTATACTTTTTATTCACTTTAACGAATGACAAACGGTCCAGAGAGTTCTACAGTTTGTCGTTGTCGTC